AAATTACTGGAAGAGATGGATCCGAAAAGCTAGATATCAGAATTCCTGTAAGTTATTCTCTTACGCTTATTGTTTTCGAGAATGAGAATGGAAATGAGAATGATATGCTATTTGTTTTATTTTCAGCTATTAAGTATATGAAATTAGTTAACTCAAAAGCTATTAATGTTTAAGAGAATATTTACAGTTTATGATGCATGCCTGAAGGGCACACACTAGCATTAGCATAATTGATATTGTCTCGAGGTACCAAAAAAGATAAAGAATAAGACAATTTAACAATGACTTTTCAAGAGAGATCAGTTAGGTAAATCACTTTGAAGATTTGTTGATTTAAACCTTGTAATGCTAACATGTGTACTCTGCCCACCGAAATTGTTCTGCTGCATGGATTCAAGCATTATACTCGAGCTTTGTGAACCAGCTACACTGTAAGATCTGCTTTTTTTCTTTCTGAAATAGTTTGAAACACCCGCCTGGGTGGCAGTGAACTCATTTAGGGGGGGTTAATCCCCAGAGTATCAGCAAATGTAATAATAAAATGGGTTATTAGTTTGGCTATAGAATCTTCACGAGCTTTACGACTGTAACAGGTTAGACGTGTTCTTTTTGGTAGGCCAATAATTAAAGAAAATGCTTTAAATATAGGGGATGCCATTTCATCTACATTATAAGCTATGTGAAAAGACTCCTCGCCTTTGATATCAAATATAGTGTCAAAATATTTTTTTGCAAGTAAATATGTTCAAGAAGTTCTGGATTCCAGGTTTTACTGCAAGTATTTCATTTTTAAGAGACAATAATTCCTTCGTTTTGAATAACTGATATTGGCGACAAACCGTGTTCCAACCATTTTGTTGGATCCATACTTGTTTTAGCAGTTATGAGCTCCTAAGGAGTGCACCAGAGCCATTTCTTAACTAGAGAAGATCGAACTCATGTGCTTTAACTTAGGAACCTTTTCTTTGTTTCACTAATATTGTCATTCTTGTGGGAGGCATCTACAAGATAACATATTAGGTACCTTTTTTATTTAGCTTTATGTTTGTGTTCTCCTCAGCATTATGTGGTTTCTTAAGGTTCATCTTTATACATGATCAATTATGGAGCATGGAAGCGTATAGTCATTATTTGTTGCATCAAGATCAATGGTTTTCTAAAATTTTGAACACTTGTCTCATTTCCTCAGGCTGGATTTTTGGAAGGAATCACAAACATAGTTCCAGGTATGTTTGTTCTCTTAGGGGTCGTTTGGTTGGAAAACAAGTTATCCCGTGATTAATTATCCCGGGATTAGTTATCCCACCCTCCCATGGGGAACCCGGGATTAGTTATACCACGATTTTATTCTAACCAAACGTGGAATAAACTTATCTGAAATTTAATCTCAGGATTAATGATCCCTTATCCCTCGTACCAAACGAGCCCTTAAGTGGTTGGCAATGCTTTTTGAAAGTCAATTATTTATGAACGTATTGCTGAAAAGTTTAGCATGTATTTTTTCTATACAGCATTGGTAGGTGTAAACATCAAAGCTCTGTTGGATGATGCAACTTTAGAAGAGGGAGGGAAACAGTTGTTGGATTTTCAGGATACAATGGGGGACAGAATTCAAGTTTTTTTGGAGTAAGAGATCTTTTGTTTTTCAACGAAAAGCATTTTGATAAATAAATCTTGAACAATCAAAAATAATTTGGTGATTATATGTATATCCCTACTTTAGCTTGTACGAGCTCCCATATATTTGTTTCACCTAAAAAAAGAGAAAGGAGGAAAGGTGATGTCTTATCAGTGACGAAGCTGATTCCTATATCTCAAGTGTCTTGATTTGTTGACTCAATGTGATTAAAGACTGATGTATGGTGACAAACAAATACGTTGGGTGTAGATACATAACAAATGTACGACTATTCTATTAAATTAAAATAGTTTGATCAAACTAGAGGTGAAGTATTAATTCACCTTGTCATATCCCATGATTGGAAGAGAAGTAAAAGAATTTTTCTTCATTATTCCATTTAAATTCAAAGTTATAGTGAAGGCAAGAAAAGTAGAAAAGACAAATATAAAAATAGAACTTTCTGTTTAGACATGTATACGCTCCCATTTCCTTTATAATCTAAACAAACCAATTAAACCAATTGTTATTATTTTTTTTACATATCCCTCTTTTTACAAAAAAGCACTAATTTCAGCGCATTTTACCTTCAAAAGAGCCTTCTCTCAACTTTAAAAAGTCCAAACTCTAGCTGGTAACGTTCCATAAAAGATTCATGATTTATTCAATGTTTAAATTTCAAATTTCCATCAGACCACCTAAGTATGATGGTTTTATAAGAAATTGGATATCAATTCACAGGAGTTAATTCAACATAAATTGCTCGTGGACAACCAAAGTTGAGGATACATGTAGTAGCAATGTGAGATTTAAACTATTTAAAGACAGAATTATTATTTTAAAGTTTTTATGTATAACAATCATATATCCCTCTATTATTAATCAATGCTTAACAATCTCTCGTTATAATACCCACATAATAAGTATGTGAAACAACCGATGCCCATATCATCATAATGTTATTCTACATTAATTTTGGGAATAGACCAATATGCCAATTGCAGCACAACTAATGTCAAGATTAATATACAATGATTAATTAGCAACAACCAAATTCCAGGATTTGACACTGGGTAACTTACAATAAATATTCCTATAATATGATTCAAGCAACCCGGTATTTTGATCGTTTTCTGCGAAATGTACTCTTTTTTCCTCAACAATTGTAGTGATATGTGAATATAAAAAATATATAAAATACATTTATAGGATGTGACCTAAGGATAAAACATATAGAAAAAAATAGACGGAAATTATTAATTATTACAAGCAATAAGTCGTAGTATTTTTTATTTTATTCTTGAACCACGTCTGTATTGGATCAAACAGATTTTCAGAACAAATTAGTGGACAGTGTGTAACCAACTCGTTATTCATTAAGTTATTAGTAATTAGATTATTAAGTTCCACAATAGGCCTTCACAGTAGCAAGGGTTTTTATACATGCTCCATTCTCAAGCAAATAAGAATTTGCAAGTGTCCTTAAATTTTATATTTTATACATGGGAAAAGGTCCAGATTTACCTCCGTACTATTAAAAGCTGTTTACATTTATCCTCCTTAAAACTTTTTGTCAAAAATCATCCATAGCATTTTAAAAAAATTGCAAATGCTATCTACAATGGCACCCAACCCCTCAATTAGTGTCCATGTCATTATCTTTTATAATATTTTATTATTCACTTATTTACTAAATGACTTGGCCATTAAATGACTTGAATGACACGACAAAGATAATGAAGCAGATACACCCACTCCCTGCAATGCTAAATGATGAGCTCGTCAATGCTTCAGCGGCCACAGTTCCCAAAATAAGTCGAGCTCCTCGTTTATTGCTCACTCGGTGTAACAATCCGGTCAGTCGTTTCGAGAGTTATAGCCTTATTTTTCTCATTCCTGCTTTTTTATGTGTTGTTCAACGGTGTTGAGTTGTATCGAGTTGATAGGTTTGGGTCCGGAGTAATTTTGGAGTGAAATGAGACACTTAGTCCGTTAGTTAGAAAGCTAAGTTAGAAAAATCAATCGGAAGTTGAATTATGAATAAACGAACTCATTGGGTGATTTTAGACATAGGAATGTATCCGGAATATAATTTCGAGGTCCGTGGTAGAATTAGGCTTGAATTGGCGAAAGTTAGAAATTTGACGATTTTGGTCGACGGTGGAAAATTAGGTATCGGGATCGGAATGGAATTCCGGAAGTTGGAGTAGGTTCGTAGTGTCATTTGTGACGTGTGTACAAAATTTGAGGTCATTTGAACGTGGTTTGATTAGGTTTCGACGTTGTTGGCAAATTTTGGAAGTTTAGAAGTTCTTAGCCTTGAATTCGAGGTTGATTTGGTGTTTTGGTGTTGTTTTGGGTGTTCCGGAGGTTCGACTAAGTTCAGATAGTGATATATGACTTGTTGGAATTATTGGTTGAGGTCCCGAAGGATGTGATTCAACTACACTAATATTAGTGTAGTATAATCCGGAGGAAAATGCGGGAAGCTTTTCAGGCACATACTTCTTTTCCGCTTTTATTGTAGTAATATAAAGGTATTCAACCTTTCCTTCATTGGTGGTCTCAATATGATAGCCATTTTGGCGAATATCTTTGAAACTAAACAAGTTTTTTTGAGACCTACTACAATATAATGCATCATTAACAAACAATATAGTTCCTCCTGGTAGTAATATAGTCGCTCTTCTAGAGCCCTCAATTAATTTTGTACTACCAGATATTGTTATGATATTGGCTTCTTTCATAATTAAATAAGAGAAATATCTCTTATCTTTTAATATGGTGTGCGTCGTAGCACTATCCAGAAGACATATTTCTTCTTTATTATTTATACGGCCAACTGAAGACTGGGAAGTTTTCATATTCTTCAAGAAGAAGAAAAAAATACATCATAAGTAATATTGAAAAATTTAAGAACAAAAGAAACTACATTTATGAAATTAAATACTGACAACATAAAAAGTTTTATTCAAAATATGAACTTCATAAAAAGAAATACATTTATTCTTATAATTTTTCCCAATAATAAGTCTTCAGTTATGATGCTCAAAGAAGTCTCCAGTTTCTAAATGAGTAATATCTGCAAGGCCTTCAAAAATATCATCTTTATAGGCAAGGTTTGCTTCAACTTTATCATGATTATTCATAGGGCCCGCCTCAACGTCATTTTGAAAAGTCAAGTGAGTCTCAACTTTATTTGTTTCCCTTTTATAGATGCTTGATAAAGTCATAAAGTTTGACAAAATGTTCAGGTGTACGATAAATTCATGCCCAATGATTTTTCATACCACATCGGTGGCAAACATTACCTTTTCCTTTTGAAGGATTATTCTGAGAACCCTTATTGTTCTCTTGTTTATAACGACCACTACCATGGCGATTATTATTTTGTCTTTTGCCACGCCCACGTATATTTATAAGGCCACGATAATTATTTTATTTTTTTTCAGACTTTGGATCTATCGTTCCCAGATTCGCTTCTGGAAATGGAGCTGATCTAGTGGGGCGGGTTTCATAATTTTTTATTAAAAGAGCATTATGTTGTTCAGCCATCAAAAGGCATGAAATTAACTCAGAATATTCCAGCATGTCCTCATCATTTATAGGTTCCCCACATAATTTTAGTTGGGAAATTATTCTATATACAGCAGAATTATATTCACTTATGGTCTTATAATCTTGTAGCCGTAAGTGCATCCACTCACGACGAGCTCTTGGCAATATCGTGGCCTTTAGGTGGTCATATCGTTCCTTCAAACTAGTTCATAATTGAAATGGATCTTTCAAGGTTAAATATTCACTTTTTAATCCTTCATCGAGATGATGGCGAAGGAAAATCATGGATTTCGCCTTATCCTGACTTGATGCTTCATTTCCTTCTTTAATAGTGTCACCAAGACCTTTAGAGTCAAGGTGAATTTCAGCATTAAAATCATTTTTGATTGGACAAAAAAAGGTTGACAAATAGTTATTCCCAGAGATGTCAAGTGCCATACAAGCTTTGACAAATTCGACATAGTGAAAACTATCATAGAAATAAGTGAATTAAAATGACAAGAATTATTATCAATTCAGTGCAGTACATAATCGTGTATTAATATTCTATATGTAAAATTATCAAACAAATAATTATGTGTAGTGCGATGATAAATTAGTGTTTAATATTACCCACAAAAAACTTTAGACATGTAAGTATATTTTTATAGAATAAATAAATTGAATTAATATGTACAAGTATAATTTTGTTCTACTTAGAATACGTTTCAATAAGCTAGGTAGGCATAAAACTAGATGATATCAATTCTGACAAGTTTCAACATTCAATACGATTCATCTAATAGTTCGGTCGTTAATTTTAAAGTCATTAATTAGTTTATACACTTAGGTGATAAATTTATTGAAGACACATTTAAACCTTTTGAATTTTTTTGTAAGAATTCCTTCTAAATGCATATTCTATTAGAATATTTGGATGTGGCCTTAATTAGTCTAATTATTGTAATTTAATTTTAATACTTATTTATTTATGTGTAGGATTAAACTTCTTCGTAGTTTATATAATGAAATAACAATTTAATCGGAACTTATTGTTTTCATACCAATGCAATTATTATAATCATATTCAAAACAAGTTATGCATATGGTAAATAAATTGTAGGTTAAAGAAGATCCTAATAGAAACGTTATAAACATAGGAATGTATACTTGAATCGAAAAAGAAACTGACTACCTCTTTTAGGAAGAAGATAAAATTCGGATGAAACAGATAACCTCAGTTGGTTAGAATCTCGTGCTGATAACGTATTATAAAATTATAGTAATATAAGCCAAGAAATATAGATAAAACTTTTCTTCTATCAAGTTGTATTCAAGTCTATCTTATTGATGTCTTTTGTAGAATTAGAAATACCGTATATATAGTGTACAATTTACTTGAGAGTTACAAGATATAAATGAATGTAATAAACATATTCATGTATATCTAAAATGGTTCATGGATGAGTTGTTGGACATTCACAAATTCAATGTATTCATAGCACTAGTCTCTTTTAACCATTTGCTAAATGGGCCTAGATCCCAAATAAAACCTCCAATATTTTACTCAGCCCAATAATCCCAATTGACTTAGTCTCATTCACCTCTTGGAGCACATAGGCCCTTGCAGAATTATCTTGATTCACAACAAAGATGTTTCTCATGAACTAGTTTGGTATGAAAATTCAATTATGAGATTTAAGAATTTATGGTATTTTGAAGTTTAAAAACTAAGTGGGAATCACTTTTTGAGCTTGAAACAAAATAGCTATGAGAATTCGGTGGTTATATATCAAGAAAATCATTATTGACATATTGAAGGTTTTGAATTGTGATTCCTCTTACGAACATTAGTGTTTCAGCAATGGTGATTTATTAATGGAGAAGAATAGATTCAAGCGGGTGATTCCTCAGCAATGATGATTTATTAATGGAGAAGAATAGATTCAAGTGGGGTGATTAGATTTAAGTGAGTTTAGTTATTTAATTTTAAAAGTATGTTTATGGTGACATGGACAATAATGTAGCATTTTAAAGAGGTCGGGTGCCACTTTGGACAATCGTTAAGGATGAGGGCAATTTATTTACTTTTTCAACGGTGCGAATAAATTTAGAAAAAAAATACAATGCAGGATAAATGTAGATTATTTTTAATAGTACAAGGATAAATATGGACATTTTTCTTTATACATGGCACCAAAATTTGTCACACTTGTTTTGTATGCTAGGCTAAGTAAATTGTAAGTCGCATTTTAAAAAGGCGAACTGTATATCTTTAATTATTTTTTTTATTTTTTTGAGGGAGGGGTCGTCGTGAAAGAGGATAACCGGCGCCACTGGGTGGAGGCTGAGAGCAAACGCAATGGCTCTTTCATTTGCTAAATCCACTTTCCTCTCCAACCCCACTTTATACTTTCCCAAGAATGGCATTAGAGGCTTTGGATTTCTCCTCCCCTTCTCTTCATTTTCTACTTCCTCTGCTCTTCCCAAGAGGAGGCAAACAGTAGTCTCTGCTCTTGAGCTTGGTGGAGTCAAGATTTCTAAAGATGGTCAGTATACTTACGGGGCATAACAAGTTTTATCTCTTTGTATATTCACTTCAATTTTCAGTTTCATGATTTTGGGATAGTAAAGTTTGAATCTTTTTTGTTTAGATAAGTAGTAAAGTTTGAATTTTTATGATTGTAAAATCTGAAATTTCTATCTGGGTCGGTCTAATTGGGGTCAAATGGAGCAGAATTGATATTGAGGATTTGTATAGCCAACCTTAAACTAGTTTGTGATTAAGGCGTAGTAGTTGTAGTAATAACAAGTTTTATTTCTTAGCATATTCACTTCAATTTCCATTACCCTATTACCTTGTTGTTGCAATTGTTTGTTGATTTAGTTTCACTGTTCCTTCAGCCGAGCGCCTACCGGAAACAACCTCTATATCTTCATAAGGTAGGGGTAAGGTGTGCGTACACACTACCCTCCCCAGACCGCACTTGTGGGATTTACACTAGATTTGTTGTCGTTGTCGTTGTTGTTGTTGTTGTTATTGTTATTCACTTCAATTTCCAATTTAGATGATTTTGGTTAGTAAAGTTTGAATTTCTTCGTTGGATATGTAGAAAAGTTTGAATTTTAATGATTGTAGAATCTTAATTTCTCATCTGGGTCAGTCTAATTGGGTCCAAATGGAGCACAATTTTTTCTTTTAAAGGAGCGCAATCGATATTGAGGATTTGTACCTTAATCTAGTTTGGGATTGAGACGTAGTAGTTATAGTAATAGCTTCTGGGTGGTTTATGAAATGGTATTTTGTAGTTAGCTCCCCAGTGGAGGCTATTAAAGTTTGCATTTTGATGAGCCCCTAGGGCTTTGGTCTAGTGGTAAGAGCGTTAGGAGCACGCCACGGGCCGAACATGCTGCGGAACACAAGTATGGTATTTAAGTGGAGAATAGTAGATGGGTGAGCTCAATATATATCGAGTTTCGAACCGTGCACCGTTCCTGGGGATTTCTCGGTTATCGAAAGAAAAAGAAAAAAGTTTCCATTTGATGCCTTGGGTGCATATTTGAAGGTTCAAGTTCTATACCTTGGTGTATTCACTTCAATTTTATTTACATGACTTGTGCTACTGAACTTCAAATGCTTTTGATATTAGAATGTAAATTTCTCATCTGGGTATTTAGTGATATTGGAATGTTGTAGTTTGCCCACCATTTGAGGCTATTCAAGTTTGAATTCTGATGACCCAGGTGTATTAAAATTTGCAGATTTACTTTATTATTTGGCTAGGTCATATTTTTGCAAATTCTAATTGTAATGAACTTCAGAATCACCCATTCACAAATACAAGAAGAAATAAACAAGTTCAGAAAGTGTATTCTGTGTAGCTTCAGTGTCTGTGCTGTTGCCATCGAACTATTTTGAGTTCTTGTTAAATTTGTTGTTTAGCTGCTGTGTGGTTACTTAAAAACCTGACTTATTTGATCACCAGACCGGTCCAACTTGGCTTTTAGAAAATTTTATTGACACATCAATGCTAATTCTTCCACTACCAGTAACAAGGTACTTGTTTGTGAAAAACTGAATAGATGGTTAACTATCTGTTTGCGCAATGCTGTTTCTTTTGGGAGATGAATTGCTGGTCACTTGTTTTGTCGGAGGCATACAGTGGACCATGCCAACTAACCAAGTTATATTAGAGAATTCTTGTTCAATTGGCGTTTGTACTGTTGTACAGCAAAAGTAACCGCAAAAAGGTGTGGGAAACCATCACTATATTTATTTGGAGGGTATGGATGGAGAGGAGTAGATAACACTTCCGAGGGGTTGAAGTGCAGATTCATACTTTCAAGGCTAGTTTTTTTTAATTGTTGAAGGTAATTTTAGCGATAAACCAGCAGCAAGGAGATGCTGAAAAAGGACTAACTAAAGCCTTTACAGTTTCAAGGCTAGTTTTGGTGGATCTTTTTCCCTTTCCTTCTTTTCGTGAGATGAGAATTCTACAAAATAGTAACACTTTTCTTCTTTTATTTTCCTTTTTTGGCCTTTTGAATAGGTCGCTTATATGTAGTCAGACTCTTGCTATAGGACCTTCTCTTGTAATTTCAAGTCCTTGTTCAGGGTGGTTTAGTAGACTATTTTGTATGGGAAGGTGCCCACTTAGTGCTTAACAAAATTAATATCTTTTCTTCAGATTTTCCTATGAACAAACAAGGTTTGAGTTTGTTTCCTTTTTCGTGTCCTCTGTATATCAAATAGAATTGGCCCTCTGGGGATACCAGAAAGCTCTTGTAGGCATGAAGAAAAGTAACCAAGCTCAGTCTTAATATGTCTTACCTTTTGTATTTCTCCTTTTCTCTTTTGTAGTTTGTTAAAATTGTAACTCTTCAAGTGTAGACAGTTTCTATCTTCACTTATAACCATGGCGTTATGCATATCCATTGTGTTTTTGTGAGTAAAGCTTGTTTTCATCTTTTGTACATCTTTTGTTGCCTTGATAGTGCTGTTAACAGAGAGAATATTTTATTCCATCACCTGGTAGTTGGTACTAACGTGATCACTTAATTTACAGAAATAGTAAGGGATGACCCCACAAACAATATTCCAGATACAATATTTGCAAAGCTCGGAATGCAGCTTCATAGGAGGAACCAGCATCCGCTTGGCATCCTTAAGAATGCGATCTATGATTATTTTGACACAAACTATCCGGACAAGTTTGACAAGTTTGATGATCTGTGCCCAATTGTTTCTGTTAGACAGGTTGGTGTGAAAAGGTTAAGGAAGCATTTTTGCACTCTTCAAAATTTTGTCTTCTCAATAATATTTGCTTTCTGGCCTTTCTGTGCTAGAATTATGGTCCTTTCTTATCTCATTGATCAAATTTTTTCTATATTCATAAAGCTGGCATTAGCATCTCTGTAATTTTCCACTAAAACTAGGGTCCCAACAAGTCATTCTTTTTTGCCTATTTATAGGGTACCTCATGTTGAGTCCAGTAATTAATTCTACCCTCCTACTCCTGAAGGCCTAATTCTATTAGCTCTAAAGGCCAAGAATACTATTCCCCATCAATTATGAGTCAGGCACATCGATCATTCAGCCACCGACCTATAGAGAGTGGTCATTATTTGTTGGTTCCATATTTAATCTTAACTGGAATGCAACTAGTGCAGGTAGGACTTGAAGTATATCTTATAATTTAGAAATGCAGCACCTAGACCTATTAGCATTGGAAATCTTAGATTTTTGAGAATCTTGTTTGATTGAGAAAATCTGGGAGAAGGGATGTTAGGTGTAGCTTATATAGCTGTAATTTTCATCCCTAGGGAATGAGTTAAATCTAGCCGTGAAACTTATAATGGATTATTATTGTATTGTTTGAATGTCCTGAGTTTCAACCCAAAGAAAAAGAAAAAGTATCTTTAGACACCATAATTGTTTTGTGCATCTTGTGTTTTCCAGAAGCACACAGACCCCGGCCAATAGACCAAAATATGGTCCTAATCATGAGCTCTTAACTACTTAAAAGCTTATCTAGATTCATAATGTAAACTTCACCTTCTGCTCAATATAGTTTTGAAAGCTGTACTGCTGTTTCTTATTACACTAATTCGTCTTCGGCGTTCATCCATGTTTAATGATAGGATATGCATATACTGCACTTGGATGTTTCCCTTTTGTTCGTTTATCTTGGCAAGAAGTTATTAACTTTGGTTTCTTTCTCTTACTGCGATTTGTGGTTTCCTACCTGCAGAACTTTGATGAAGTCTTGGTACCTGCTGATCATGTTAGCAGGAGTTACAATGACACATATTATGTGGATTCTCAAACTGTTCTAAGGTGCCACACAAGCGCACATCAAGCTGAGCTACTGAGGAATGGACACACCCATTTTCTCGTTACTGGAGATGTGTACCGTAGAGATTCGATTGACGCAACTCACTACCCTGTATTCCACCAGGTTCTCTACCTGCAAACATATTTTTCTCTGGACATGCAGATTGTTGTGTGGATTTATCCTTTAATGGTTTTTTGCCATACTATGTAGATGGAGGGTGTACGGGTCTTTGCTCCACATGATTGGGAGGGTTCAGGTGCTGATGCGACGTCACATGCCGCAGAAGATTTAAAGAAATGTCTTGAGGGTTTGGCACGACATCTATTTGGTACGATTCTTGATCTAAAATGTGTCATGATGATTTCACAATAATTTACCATATAAATATTGGGATTGCAACCAATAATGAGTCATGATGATTTGACTATTATTTACCATATAAATATCAGTATTGCAACCAATCTCTTACTCTATGACTTCCTTACATCATTAGCAGGTGGTCCTTGGATGCCAGCTATTTATGCTCATCTCATCTTAGAGGTGTGATGGGGGGTGATAGTTGCTTATTTTATTATTCTTTCTTGCTTTTTTCCATCTTCTTAATACTTTAGGTGTCTCAATTAGCACCTTTTTTTTAGGGCAGATAGTTATAGAGAGCTAAGTAGACTGCTAGATAATAGGTTGAAGTCACTGTAAGAATTAACAATACCTATGGAAGATCGTATCTGATATTATAATGTAGTTGGTTGCTTCCCTGTTAAATTTCCAGCAGATCAGTGGACTCAGGAGGGGTCCAATCCTCTGCTGCTTTTCCTTATTTTGTCGACCTTCACTTCATTGACGATGTTCCTGTATCTCATTTCTATCGTGTATAAATCTTATAGCTTGTCCTCTTTCTCAGAAATCTTCAGAAACCATCTTTCTACTGCAAAATTTCTTTTAAGTGACAAAGATTTATGAATCTTCAACCTAATCTTTCTAGTTCTTCAGGTGGTGTGGAAATGCGCTGGGTTGACACTTATTTCCCCTTTACTAATCCATCATTTGAACTGGAGATATATTTTCAGGTATACTTTTGCATTACTTTATGACAGACTTATACATGCTTTTGTTTCCCTTTATGCCCCTCCTCTCTAGATGTTAAAATTCGGAGAATATGCGAGTTATTTTTGTGGTCTCATCAGATCGTTTGATAAGATGCTATAAAATGTATAGATGTGTGTGTGCGTGTTTGGGGGGGGGGGGCAGTTGTTACCAAGCTAGAGTAGCCTCATATGTAACCTCCTCACCTTCCCTTTCCTCTTATTTTACTATTTGGGTAAAGTCCCTTTGGTTTAACTTAACATAACTTATAGAAGTCTAATGGTATTTTACCTTCATTTATCAGTAAAAAAGAGTAAGATTGTATCGCCTAATTAAACAATCTCTTTTGCTGGGGCTCAAGAGTGTCAAGCATGCATTAGACAAACACATCATATGCCATTCACTAATTATGTGAGCTAGCTGTCCTTACTTTGAATTCAATTGAGAAAATAGAATTTTGTTGGAAAAATAAAGCAGGAAGATGAAGGGTGTGAGCCGCCAAACAATAGCCAAACATTCAGGAAGAAGATAATACAATAACAATGTGAGATCCACATTTTTATGTATCATTAAGGTTTTACATAGGACTAGAGACCTCGTTAGAGACTCTATTTTGACAAAGAGAAGTTCACACAGCAATTCATCGAATCACAAAATAAAAAGGATATACAAGCACACGTAAGCCTTCCGAATATTGAACTCATACGCATAGAGGAAATCGATATACAAATTGTTATTTCTTCTTCTCTAAAAAGAAAATGATTCTTTGTTAGTTTATGTACTGCAGAACACTACCATTTCATGCGAAGCACAAAAAGAGAAACTTTTTAGCTAAACTTTAGTGATATTTGATAGCATTATTGGTGTTTTATCTCTCTCCGTAATTCTTGAGCTAAGATATTATTATGCAAGAACGTCAATAATACTACCTTATTCTTTGACAAGTAATGTATGCATTTATTACCCAAAAAAGAATTGGAAAGCACTTACGTATTGCAGAAAGTACAATAAATAGAGATGAAACCTCGAGAGAAAAGCCAGAGCAAAGACCAATTTGAGCTATTGAAAATAGATAGGAGATGGACTCATCCTTCTGGTATAATTTTTATTATGATCTACTTACTGTTAAATCCTTTTCCAGAATGAGTGGATGGAAGTTTTGGGTTGTGGAGTGACAGAACAAGAAATATTGAAAAGAAGCGGTAGAACGGACAATGTTGCTTGGGCGTTTGGGCTTGGATTGGAGCGCTTGGCTATGGTTTTATTTGATATTCCAGATATTCGACTTTTCTGGTCAACTGATGAGCGATTCACTTCTCAAGTAATTTCTTCATCTGTCATGTTTTCATTTTTCTTCTTGTTCTGCTTTTTCAGCTAGTTCTTCCTACCTCTCCCCTTTTCTATCACCAGATTGGATTTTCGTAGCTATCAATAACTTTTCTTGATCATGATGTAGTTTTCTAGCGGCCTGCTGGGGTTGAAGTTTAAGCCATTTTCTAAGGTAGGACTTGTTTGCTACTGCTTTTATGGGGATTTTAAGCATTTGAAGAATCCAATTCTTATATGTTTTTTTGAGCATTTCATTTCTTTAAGTGCAGCTTTTTATTTGAAGAATGCACTTAAGGGATCCACTTTTGGCTGCATAATTTTGTTTGTGGATCTATTAGTGTTTAAGAGATTGAAGTTCCTTAATTTTTGCAGTATCCACCTTGTTATAAAGACATGAGCTTCTGGATCAGTGATTCGTTTACTGAGAACAATCTCTGTGAAGTTGTTAGAGGAATTGCTGGAGACCTTGCCGAGGAGGTATGTCCACATGATGATTCTACTTTCTGCCAATCCAACTTGTAGATATGAGGGTCCCTTCATTAATGTGTCTTTGACTCTTATTAGTAATTTAAAATACTAAATTATTATTTTTTCCAGGTCTTAAAATTTTTCTGTTTTGTTACTGTTAGTTATTCATTTTTATATTTTGTCGGGGACACGTCTACAGTTAGTAATTTTTTTTGAGGGACATTCACAGTAGAGCAATGGTCATTAAACATTCTGTTTAGATGAGTTTCATATAAAAGTTGGTTTCTTTGAAGGTAAAAATGTGGAAACCTAAATCCTATTTAGCTTAATAAATTCAAGCTCAAATTCTTCAGTACAATAGATGTTGGCAGCTAATGTTGGTTAAAACTTAAAAGATTTCACTGTGGATGCTTATCTACAAAAAAAGACAACAACAAACCAAGTGTAATCCTACAAGTGAGGTCTGGGAAGGGTAGTGTGTACGCATGCCTTACCCCTACCTTGTGAAGGTAGAGAGGCTGTTTCCAGTGGCGGACCGGGTTCCCGGGAACCTAGTAGCTTTTGCACAGTCCTTGTATGTATTTAAAAATTCATTAAATATCTATAAATATTTGATTGGGAACCCAGTCGCTAACTTGAGATCGTTATAGGAACCCATAAACTTCAAATTCTGGATCCGCCTCTGGCTGTTTCCTTGGATATACCCCAATATTCAAATTCATGAGTATCTATCCTGCTAGATTTCCTGAATATTTGAAATGTTTCTCTAACTCAACGTGTTTGAAAGCACCTATTCATTGATATCATTAGTTCATTTCTCCAAAGTAAAAAGTAAGCTATGCTGACTCAAGTACTTTTATCTGAAGCTTCAAGTTAAGTGATTTTCGCATCATACCCTGGGATGGGAGAGGGGTGATGGGTTTGTCTAGTGAAGCCAATCACCACAGCTTTGGCCAATTGTACAGTAGGTTTATAGGGTCGTGTTTGTAACCTGAGTTCGTCTAGTGACCGTTCCTGCCAATTCTAATGTCAGGTGAAATTGATCGACAACTTCACCAATAAGAAAGGAATGACGAGCCATTGCTACAGGATAGCTTATCGGTCCATGGAGCGTTCACTTACAGACGAGGAAATAAATGATTTGCAGGTAAACCTTCTTTCAGATGAATCTCTACTAGGCTATTAGCCTATTTACCATCTTTCTCCTGCCATTAACTAAAGGTGTTTTTTAAATATTATTTGGATGCAGTGGAAAGTGCGAGAACAGGTGGAGAGCAAGTTAAAAGTTGTTCTAAGATGAGCTATTTCAGGGGGCATTTGCACAAATGGCCTTTTCCGAGGCCTATTTAAATTCGGTCCGCGTTTGGGCTAAATTTGTCTGCCAGAAGAAATAAAAAAACAGAGGAGAAATTCTTTCAACTACTCTTAAAGGGAAAGTTTAGTCCACCGGGCTAACATGGGACAAAATTTAAAGAGTGGCCTAAAAAAGGTCATACCATGAAAATAATCCCTATTTCAAATGTTTGTTTTTGTAGCTTACGCCTTGTAATTATTTGCATTTAGTTATACGTTTATCATGATTTCTTGATTGTATAAGTCAAATTGCTTATTTGCTGTCATTTGGCATTTTGAGGCCAATTCCTCCACCCCCCCCCCCCCCCCCGAACAAAATAGAACCTATTTATTTCAAGGTTTTCATCTTTGTAGAAAAAAAAGGCAGAATAGCTCCTTGTTTGAATTCATCAGAATCTTTATTATTGGAATTTCTAACCCATGCAAATTACCATCTGTAGTAGAGGCTTAGAGCACACCAAAATAGTAGAAATGGCATCAGGTAGCTGCTTTTAAGCATGTTGTTTAATATATATTCACAGCTTATAATGTATTTAATGATTGGTCAATTCGCTCAATGAAGTTTGAACCTCTCAAGATATCGTGTCATAAAGTTCGAAAATTATGTCTAGGAATTCTAATCGTATGTCCTGAATTCCGAATTAGCAGCTCAAAAATTCAGGATACAAAAATTCAAGATATTTAGTCCTGAAGTTTAGGCGAATTGGCTAATCTTTAAATACATCGTAAATTATGAATATATTTTAACAAGGAAGCTTAAAAGTGGTTATTGGTGCACTTTGCCCACCAAAATATGATGAGTTAACACCCTAAAATAACCCTAAACTATCATTTTTTTGTCAGTTTCCTGCTTAAACTATCTGGTGTCACCCAAAATCGCCCTAAACTTTATTCTCCTTAATATTGAAACACCCTCATTGTATTTCTGGCAAACCGTGTGTAATAACTCGCTATTGAGCACGTAATGGTTGAAAAAGCCATCAAAAGGGCCCCACTTGACAACATGTAAAGGCTAATTAGCCTACACTCTTTCAAATCTTTTTTTCTTAAAAAAAATTCTCCTAATACATTTCTTTCTCATTTTTTTTACCATTCTTCCTTATTTTTTCACCTTTCTTCTTCATTTTTCCATCTGGTTCCATATGAAATTATCCATCTATGTTATTACTCAATCTATTTTGTATCTTTCTCGTTTTATTCTTTTTTATTTATTACCCGAATTTGTTTGAAAGAAGAAATATTCATTCAATAACTCATACTCCAAAACGATCTAATTTTTATGGTAAAATTGAATTGATGTTTCCTAGCAAATTTATACAATAATTTTGCAACAAAGAAGTTAGTTTTTAAAGAAATAGTATTAGTGCATAACTATCTTCTTCAAAGTAACTCAAATTTTTACCAATAATCTTCACTCAGCCAGAACCCCAATGAACCCTAGATTTTTTAACAAATCCTAATTTTTAATCCCCGATCTCGAACAAAAATAAATTAAGATCGAGCAATCGAAGGTTATTGGGGAAAAATCAAGATTACAATGAAGCTTAATGAAGCAAATCGCTACTGAGAGGTGTAGTATCCATTATTGGAAGAGAGGAGGTAAAAGGAGAATTGACAGAATTGATTTTATCCAACCTCTATTTTTTTTGTTTTTAACCGGGTGAATATTTACCCTCTAATAATACTTGTTTATTATTTAAAATAACTAATTAAGTCAATTTTTAGATTAAGCTAATTAATGGATTGCCGCATACACACGGTAATTTTTTTTGATAATTTGGACGGTGCAACGCACACACTATTAGATATATAAGGATGGTGTTTCAACTTTCAATATGGAGAATATGATATATGGGTGAACCTCACAAATTTATGCAGCAGCCTCCGCCAAATGGCAAAACCTGAACCATGTGTTCCCAGGGGAGTTTATGTTGAAATTTGGAGAGCATTTGGATTGGTTTGAGAATCATATATATCCACAACGAATTAGCGGGAACAAATACCAAATTAGGTCCATTATCAGTAACATCAGCTCAATTGTACTTGAGCATCCATGGCTATTCAATGCAATTTTGTTCCATACTTCACCTGCAGGCCTAGTAAAGAGATACCCTCATCATCGTTCTCTTCATTTGCCCCTTTCCCTGCAACCCAAAAGGCTCTCTTTTATGTTGATTCTACCAAATTAAAGTTCTCATCAGCTCCCAGGTCTATTTATCTTTTCCTCATTTCTTTTTTGTATACAATAAATATACACTGCAATTCTGAAAAAGTTAGAAACTTGCTTTATAGGTTGCCCACAGTCATCTCTGCCTTGGTTTCTGACAAGAAAGCTGTAGAGTCTAATTATTCTGGTACCGATATGTTCAGATTGACTTACTTGGAGGTGCATTTTCTATCTTGATTATATTGCTGTATTATTCTTTGCTGCTCTCTCAGAATCATTATTGTGCTCAAGTTAATTCTATTTGTGTGTTTAGGGGAATAGCTGGTTGTGGGAAGTGGGAGGACTCAAACTTCTGGTTGATCCAATCTTGGTGGGTAACTTGGATTTTGGAATTCCTTGGCTCTATGATGCTGCCAAGAAAGTTCTCAAGAATTTCCAGGTCAGTGGAATGGGCCATTTTCCCATTAAATAGCTCTATATTGACTATTTATCTACATATACTGAAATAGTCTGGGATCTTATGGTGTTTGTAGAGCAGCTTGATGACCTTCCAGTGATAGACTGCTTGCTCATTACACAAAGCCTCGATGATCATTGTCATCTCAAGACATTAAAGCCTCTCTCAAAGAAGTTCCCAAACCTGAGAGTTATAGCAACTCCCAATGCCAAAACACTGCTGGATCCTCTCTTCAACAATGTATGTGATATATTTTTAAGCTTTTCCTAAGGAGAAAAAGTAACATATATTGTACATTGGTCTGCTTCCAGAACACTGAGAATGAGAAATCGGGCGCTGATATGATAAAACAATTTGGACCATGAAGTTGAGCCTAAGAGCATATAACAAGTCAAACATATCAGCTATTGACTAAAACTGGTATTTTCACTTGGACTTAAAGATAGCTGTTGGAAGAAGACTGAGAGTGCCGTAGAATGTTTTCTATATAAAACAACTTGACAGTAAAAGTTATGGCACCTAGTGGTCATTTAAGCTTTATTTAAGATAGCAAAACGATTGAGCAAGCTTGCTAGATAAGAGAATGAATACCTACCGAGGTATCGGGAGGAACTGTATGTATAAATGTTTCAGTGCAGCATCTATTAAGGTTGGAAACAAAATGCACTGTAACAGCAATAGTTCCTTTTATGATCTCTAAAATCAATTCCTTGACCCGATAAATTCATGATATGATGGTTAATCAGTTGCTCAAAAAGAGAATCTGAACATTCCATAAATTTTATGATTTTAACAAAAGAATATGGATAGAAGACGCTCTACTCTTAAGTTACTTATTATCTGATGGGTGTTCAGCGTTCTTTTCCTTTAGTTACTTCTCGTTCTACTGGAACCTAGAAGAGGGAAACGGGTAGTTGATGATTTTGCAAAATCTTGAGTAACAGATATATGATGTGGGTTGTTTTGCTTGTTTGAGATGGTTTTACTTGACACAAATATTTTAGGTTAAAGAAAACCTAAAATCCATTTCTTTGACTTGTGTATTCAAAGAAATCTAGTACGTTTTCCTTGCTGATAGGAAAAAAATACGAAATTAATAGGGTGAAGAGATGTAAAGAGCAGTTACTTGTGCTTAAGAGCAGTCAAATGTCCCTCTTAAGTTAATCCTTAGTTTGTAAGAATATGAATTATGGTTTTTACATTTTTGTTCATTTATGTTCCAAATATTGGCTCAATTGCTAGCTAATCCTATCAGAGGTGTTGGACACAGTTAGCACTATTAAGTGCAACAGAAAATATTATGCTTCTCTGTGGACAGTATTTATCAACAGTAAGCTAAAGTTAGCGTAATATTGTTCTTCCATTGATCAGGAATTTCGATTTCTGGGAAGTATCATGATCATAAATTGGATAATGAGATAGTGAGAGGATATTTCCAGTAGTGGTCAGTGAAGAAGGTCTGCGCAGGCTGACAACTGTGATGTTAGAAAACTTATGTAACAAGACATCAAAGAACTATATATTGACACTTCAATTTGAAGACTTAAACACTCATCTTGGCAATCTGCAACCCTCATTTTAGATGGGAAGAAAAACTACTGCTCTTTTCGGCCCACACAGAAGCTGTAATGAATTTCTTATAATCAATTTATTGATCGAGAAACTAAAAATCATCGTGCACTTGTGTAAATTTTTCGTCGCTCCATATGATAAATGTCATGTAATCTGTTTTCTGAACAATGAACAAGATGTTTCCTGAAAAGTTACTTTTGCTTCTAAATCTTTAGGTCATCTACTTGGAACCCGGCCAGGATTCTGAGATTGAAGTGAGCAACGGCTTCCAGGTTAATATTAAGGCTACTGCAGGGCCGGTTCTTGGACCTCCTTGGCAGCGACCCGAGAATGGGTAGACTTGATTATGCCATTATCTTTCTTCTCCTTTCCACTCCATGACAATGATAACTTTTACTTAGTTTGCAGTTAACTCTTTTAATAATGTGCTCCAGGTATCTTGTCACTTCTCCAAAAGGTGCTCTTACTCTCTACTATGAGCCCCACTGTGTCTATAACAAGACCTTCTTAGAAAAATACAAGGCAGACATTGTTATTACTCCTGTCATAAAGCAACTTCTACCAAACTTTACATTGGTTTCCGGACAAGAAGATGCAGTTCAACTTGCAAATCTTCTTTCTGCAAAGTATGTAATATTGAAATCTAAAGCCAGCTTGTGCTAACACAATTTTTTTTATTAGAGTTGAAGTTGAAAAATTCTCATGTTAAGAGAGGGAAAATTGAAAAATAACGTGTGCTTGAATTCATTTTCTCAGTTTCTCCAATCAACAAAGAAATGCATGCAATAATGTTTCTAAGTAAACATCTGACATTCTGCTTTTCTTTATAGGTTTGTCGTGCCGATGAAGAATGGTGACCTCGACAGCAAAGGGTTTCTTGCTAGTATTGTTCAAGCTGAAGGAACAATGGAATCATTCAAGGTACTCTACTATAACTTCATCATATGCACATTTAGCAGTCTCTTAGCTGCCTTATCCTTTACACATCATTAGAACAATCAAGGGTGGTTTAGTTACAGGACAGTTGGTAATTTAACTTAGACTGCAGGACTAATATGATAAAGAAATTACGAAAATGATTTTCTTTACTTATTCAACCTTACTTTTTTGTTTGTTTAGTCCTTTCTGCGTTTCTTTATACATAACAAAGAATTGTTTTGTAAATATCAGTGAAAAGAAGTCAAAAGTGCGCAGCAAGACCTCCAAAACCAACAAACAGACTGAAAAATAAAATCTCCTGCTGGTGCAGAATTATTGGTTTGCAACTTGCGTAAAAATCATAATAAGAGTCTGGAGGCAAAATAAATACTTCACTTTGAAGGCTGTAATAATCTTCTGCTAAACAATGCCTATTCCATCTTGTCCATTTGCCGGGAACAGATGGTAAGCTGCATTCTGTACAATTTGCCTTGTCAGTTAACCAACATTAAGATCAAAGAAAACTTGAATAAAGTCCCTGAGATGGCATTAGATGATAAAATCAAGGATTTTTATTGCTAGAATGTGTTCATTCTGCAATACTGCTGACAAGGTTGAATTTAGAGCAGTCTATATTTTACTGCTGTCTGTTAAATTCAGTTTACTATTCAGTAAAGTCCACTAAGTGCCTACCATGAAGTTATCCCCTATCTGAATGAATAGTGATAACGGCAATACGCTGTCATGAAATAAGATGTTCATATAGATGTTAGAGCTTTATCACTACACAAAGTTAGTTATAACCTCCCTTGTAGATCCAGATCTTTACACGGATAGTTATATGATTTTGGTTTCAATGGGGTTTACTAATAACTAGCCGCAGTTGGATTAACAGGTCTCCCTTATTTGTGTCCACATAAAGAAAACTATGCTTTATTGATTCGTTGAACTTTAAAGAATTGTTGTCCATGCTACTTATTGATTAGTTTTCTGAATTTTTTCTTCTGGCTTGCGACTTGTTTCTTTGTAATGCAGGAACTTTTGTCAAAGGAACTACCAGATGCAAAGGTACTTGAACCTGCTCCCGGAGAACCACTGGATATTTCAATAGCTGTACAGGGACAATAAAACGAGAAATGTTTATTTGAATATATACAATGCAATACTTACATACCCAACAATACATGAGATTTTAATTAAGCAAGGCAATCTTGGAGTCATGTTTTGGGCCTAAAAATGAGAATAGAACAAGAAGCTTTGATAGTTTGACACCCTAGAAGGGGATAGATCTAGAGAAATTTTCAGAAACCACTATAATTAAGTGACTATTAACGTGCTATAGCTACAATATCCACATTCACTGGCCGTAGTTACAATTTCGTTACTACTGTGATGTACTCCATGTATTCAAGCGACTGTATTTATAAATACAGTGAGGTAATCCGCCTAAAAAATAGGAATTACTGTTCTTTAATTTTGTATTCCATGTATTCGCGCGACTGTAGGGATTACAGGTGTTTAATAACGGAAAGCGCAATATTGAATTTTATTCAATTTTACTATATTGAATTCAGTTGTATTCAAACAATAAAAAATCAAGAAATAGAGTGTATACCACTATTCAATTCGGCTGTATACACTAATTCAATTCACTTATATTCATTCTTAACTATTATACATTGTGTTTAATTCACCGTATTCAATTCGATTGTATTCAAACAACAAAACATCACAAAAATAGTGATATTCGATTGTATTCAATTCACTATAGTCATTCGTAGATGCTTTTACACTGTATTCAATTTATTGTATTTATTTTGGCTGTATTCAAACAACAAAAATTAAAAAAATATAGGGATCTGCAACAAAAAATAACCTTCGAAATACATAAATACATGCAAAAATACAATTTATGGGTGTATTTATACACAATACAATATATTTGTATCATTGTATATGACTCAATAGCAAAGAAGAGAAGAAAGTTCGTCGGAGATGGCGTCTTCCTGCCAAGCAAAATATTGTATACATTGTATTAAAACTAAAAATGAATACGAACAAAAGTTCGGCCCTCAAATCTTCCATCGCGCCTCTGACTTTTCAAATGATACATAGATCTGAAACTTGTAGTTTTGAGTAAATTGAGTACAGTGTATCAAATCTAACATCGTGCCATGGGTAGATCTGAACGAAGAGGGAGTAGGAGAACAAATCTGGCCATGGCTACAGATTGAGCTTTTGGAAATCTGAAGCATAGTAGCCGGAGAAAAGAAAATCTAAACAAAGTCGCCGGAAATATGAACAGATCTGGCCATGGCGGTGAGTCGCCGGAGAAGACGACGACCTTGCCGAAGAGAGATGGGAAAGGGAGAGAGATTTGAGGGAGAAAAGATAGGGTTGAGGGATTAGTTGTATATATTTGTACTTTGCTATAAAATATTAAAAAATAGCTTAAAATAATTGTAACGGCCTGACCAGTCGTTTTGAGTATTTGCACTTCGCTCACTAGTTTGAGGACATGAGTAGCTCCGTATGATGTATTATGACTTGTGTGAATTGTGGTTTTGATTTTCATGTTATTCGGAAGTGATTTTGTCACGACCCAATTTCCCCTCCGTGTGACGTCGTGACGGCACCTAGTCTCCGTGACTAGGTAAGCGTAACATTTGCGGAATAATGAGATGGAAACATAAATTCAACAACTAACTGTAGCAATAACACCATAACTGAATACCATGCCGCTTGGCATGTACAATAACCAACTCCTTAGTATACTACATAGCATTCCCAAAATCCGGAACATCATAAGTCACAAGCTACAAAAGGAAACTAGTATCTCTATACACCAGAGTCTAATAACAGAAGTAAGGAAGGTAAATGACATAGGAGGGAATAGAGGGGGACTCCGAGGTCTGCGGACGCGGCATATATACCTTGAAGTCTCCGTACAGCAGCAATCACTCTCAGCTAGTAGCGGGGCTGATAAGAAGTACTTGGATCTGCACACAAAACATGTGCAGAAGAGTAGTATGAGTACACTATAATTGGTACCCAGTAAGTGCCAAGCCTAACCTCGGTATAGTAGTGACGAGGTCAGGTCCGGGCCTTACTGTAATATGATAATAAAGCAAGGCAAGAATGAAATATCGCAGTAAAATAAAAACTGAAATTTAACAAGAAAAAAATTCATAGAAGGTAACAACTCAATACACAGAAATATAACATGGGATCTCCCAAGATACCGTCTCGTAGTCACAAACGTAAATGTGCAGGGGGATCTCCCGGAATACCGTTCCGTAGTCCCAAAGTAAATATGCAAGACAGGGGAGATCTCCCAGAATACCGTTCCGTAGTCCCAAAGTAAATATACAAGACAGGTGGATCTCCCGAAATACCGTTACGTAGTCCCAAAGTAAATATGCAAGACATGGAGGGATCTCTCGGAATACCGTTCTGTAGTCCCAAAGTAAATATGCAAGACATGGAGGGATCTCTCGGAATACCGTTCTGTAGTCCCAAAGTAAATACATAGATCAAACGACAAATACAACAGTTAACAATAAGATTTCTACGGCTATACTGATAAAGAACAAGAAAAAAGCAGGAAATCATCTAGGCATGCTTCACAGAGTTCAAGTAAGCAGTTAAAGCACGTAGACATGCGATATTAGACTAAACAGGATATCTACACATATTGGAATAACTCAATTAAGAATGAAAATAGATTAATACTCATTAAAATGGTATAACTCAAAATAAAAGGAAAACATGTTGCTGCTCAGTAAGAAAAATCGGGTTTTACCAAAACTAGCCCGTGTACGTACTCGTCACCTCACGTACACGGCACTCACATATCACAATAGTTCCAAATCCTAAGGGGATTTCCCCCACACAAAGTTAGGTAAGCCACTTACCTCGAGTCAAGCTCAATCAATCCGTAAGAATGTCCTTTCCTCGATCATCCGACTCCGAATGGCCCAAATCTTGCCAAACACAATTGCATATCATGAATACAACCATAATAGACTCATCTAATTAATGAAATCAATATTTTAACAAAAAATCCGAAATTCATCCTAAAAAGTCAACCCGGGCCACGTCTCGGAATCGGGTAAAAGTAACAAAATACGAACACCCATTCACTCACGAGTTCACTCGTACCAAAATTATCCAAATCCGATGTCTAAATCCCAATCAAAAATCAGAAATTCGGTTAGGGATCTTTTTCCCCATTTTTCCAACTTTTCAATCCAAATCCGAAATTAAATGGAGAAAACAACTATAAATTAATGAAATACAACAAAAAACGAGTTAAAAATCGTTACCCCAAAGCTCTCCCTGAAAATCCCTCGAAAAATTGCCAATTCTCGTGCTCCCAAGTCCAAAAATGAAGAAATGAATCAAACCCTCGATTTTTTCTCTAATTTGCCTAGAAATATCGCTTCTGCGATCCTTCAACTGCACCTGCGGTACCGCACCTGCAGAAATCCCATCGCAGGTGCGAAAATCACTTAAGGGGGTTAAGTCCGTATCTGCGAACAATGGCCGCTTCTGCGCGTCCGCTTCTGCAGATCTATGGCCGCACCTGCGGTCCCAGCTGAACAGGGTCAAAACCGCTTCTGCGGCGCCGCACTTGCGGCCCAAAGTGAGCAGTTGCGATTACACCAGGTGCAGCAGCTCCAGCAATTGCATAAGTCCCAAACTCAATCCGTTAAGCACCCAAAACTCACCTGAGGCCCCGGGACCTCGACCAAACATACCAACCAATCCTAAAACACCATACGAACTTAGTCGAGCCCTCAAACCACATCAAACAACGCTAAAATCACAAATCATTCTTCGATTCAAACCTAAAGAACTTGAAACTTTCAAATTCGACAATCGATGCTGAAGCTAACCAAACCAAGTCCGATTGACCCCAATATTTGCACACAAGTTATATTCAACATTATGGACCTACTACAACTTCCTAAATCGGAATCCGACCCCGATATCAAAATTTCCACTATCGGTCGAAATCTCCAAAAATTTGACTTTCGTCATTTCAAGCCTAAATGGGCTACGGACCTCCAAAATACAATCCGGACACGCCCCTAAGTCCAAAATCACCCAACGGAGCTAACAGAACTGATGAAACTCCATTCCAGAGTCGTCTTCACACAGTTCCGACTACGGTCAAAATACTAAGACTTAAGCTCCCATTTTAGGGACTAAGTGTCCCAAAACACTCCGAATCCAAAAACAAAACCTCCCGGCAAGTCACATAAGCAGAAACGGTATGGGGGAAATAGTAAATAGGGGATCAGGGCTATTACTCTCAAAACGATCGGCCGGGTCATTACCGATTTGGAAGAATGAATTTCATATTTGAAACTTTAAATTGGAAGAGTTGACCAAGTTTGACTTTTGTGTGTTTGATCCCGGAATGGAGTTTTGATGGTCCCGTTAGGTCCGGATGGTGATTTTGGACTTGGACGTATGCCAGGAATTGCATTTGAATATTTCTAGAAGGATTCTATGCTAATTGGCGAGAGTTTGAAATTTGAAGGTTTGGAAAGTTCATAAGTTTGACCGGGAGTTGAATTTGATGATATCGGGTTCAGATTGTAGTTTCGAGAATTGGAATAGCTTCGTTATGTCATTTGGGACCTGTGTACAAAATTTGATTTCATTCCGAGTTGATTTGATATGTTTCGGCGCGAGTTTTGGAAGTTGAAAGTTCAAAGTTCATCAATTTCGATTTGAGGTGCGATTCGTCGTTTCAATGTTGTTATGCGTGATTTTGGGCCTTGAGTAGGTCCGTGTTATATTATAGGACTTGTTAGAATATTCGGATATGGTTCCGAGGGGCTCGGGTAAGTTTCGGAGTGGAATCAGAACATTTTTCCTTCATGTTTGATTGCTTGTGTGTTTTGGGCTGCTGGTGCTGATTTTCCTTCTATGCGATCGCGAGAGAAGAAACACGATCGCAATGTACAATGTTGGAGCTGGTGCACTTTCTTCTACGCGTTCTCCATTATAGGACCACAATCACGGAGGTTGAGCGGCATGTGTAATACGGTCATGTGCTTGGGAAGGCTATCACGTATCAGCGTGGGTGCTGGGCAGAGATGTCTTTGCATTCGCGTGTATCAGGTCACATTCGCGTAGCTTTATTTCAGTGGTCTGCGCGTTCGCATGGTTTGTCTCGCTAACGCGTTGGGTATTTTGAGCAGTGCCATTTTCTCTTCTTCGCGATCGCATGGATTGTTCCGTTATCGCGATGCATATGACTGTCTAGTGAATTATAAAGTACTATATTTCGGGGGTTTTAGCCATTTTATCATATTTGGAGCTATG